ATCTATCTATCTATCTATCTATCTATCTATCTATCTATCTATCTATCACTATATCTATCTATCACTATATCTATCACTATATCTATCTATCTATCTATCAATCTCTATCTATCTATCTATCTATCTATCTATCTATCTATCTATCTATCTATTTATCACTATATCTATCTATCTATCTATCTATCTATCTATCTATCTATCTATCTATCTATCTATCTATCTATCTATCTATCTATCTATCTATCTACCTATCCATCCATCCATCCATCCATCCATCCATCCATCCATCCATCCATCCATCCATCCATCCATCTATCTATCTATCTATCTATCTATCTATCTATCTATCTATCTATCTCAATTTATTTATAAACTTTATTGGCTCATCTTACATTTCCTTGCACAAAACAAGAAAAAAGGATCAAAACTTTATTTTGATCTTTTTTGACACTTTGCCTTCCCTTGCAGACATCGGAGAAATGACTTCAGCCTGTCCTCTGTGTCTTAGTTTTTACATTTTGGAAAATTAAAACAAATAAGAAAATACAGATTTCCAGCCAAAAGATAAAGGCACTCGCCTCCATAGCAATACCTTCAGTTTTCCTGAACACTTCCACCAAACTCTGGGCTTCCTCTTCAATCTGATACACCAGAGCGCTCTTCCCCATGCCCAGGGTCTTCAGAGCCGCCATTGAAAATCGTCTTTGATGCTTCCAGTTCTGGCCCGAGGAAAGTGTGATTCCTGATGACACAGAACCACCGGACGACAGATTATTGGCCTTATTCAAATCTTTGGAACTGACAGAAGGGCAAAATACAGTACCTTTCTCAGAATATTGTGATCGAAACAGCAATAGCACTTAGACTTATATACCGCTTCACCATGCTTTACTCTGAGCAGTTTTACAGAGCCAGCATATTTGCCCCCAACAATCTAGATCCTCATTTTACCGACCTCGGAAGGATGTATGGCTGAGTTAACCTGGAGCTGGCCAGGATCGAACTGCTGACAGTCAGCAGAATTAACCCGCCATACTGCATTCTAAAGACTGCGCTACCGTGGCTGATCACATCTGTAATGTAAAGCTGCCTCTGAAACTGGAAGTCCAATTCTGCCAAGTGGGTAGCATGGGCTTTGGAGTTACTAGGAAACAGTATCATAAAACAGGAAGGCTAAATAAACCAGGAATAACTAAAAGGGGACAAGAGAATTAAGGGAGACGTAGCGGGTCAATTTCCTTAAAATTTAATTTGCAGCTCTACATCTTCTTCCATGGAGATTCAAACTCCTGGAAGGTTTATTTAATTTTTAAAAAATACATATGCTGGGTATGTCAATATTTAAGGATGTAAATTCTTGTTAAACCAAAGAAAGGAACATTAATGTCATTCTAATTTTTTGTGAATTATCCCCATGAAACAATTATTCTAGTTCAACATCGTTGTTTTAAAAAAGGAGCCAATAATTTTCCAGGGGGGAAAATGGCAATTTTCTTATGGATAAAATTGAGAGTTTATTGAAGTTACAGACTGAAGTTACTTTGTGTATTGCCACTGTACAGGTAGTTCCCGATTTATGACAATTCCTTTAATAACCATTTGACAATGCTGAGAAAAGTGACTTAGTTAGGACCACTCCTCAGTGTCATGCTAACATGAGCAAAAATTGGGTGCTTGGCAACTGGCATGTATTTACGATGGTTTGCAGCATCCTGGGGGGTCACGTAATTAACATCTGTGACTTTCCTAGGCAGCTTCTGACAAGCAAATCTGATGGGGGAAGCTGGATTCACTTCATGACCGTGGCAAAAAGGGGCGGCAAAGTCAGGTGTAACTCACTAGACGACCTCCTTGCTTAGCAACAAAAGTTCCAGTCCCAAATGTGGTTGTAAGTAGAGGACTAGCAGAACCACGACAAAGGTGACACCAAAGAAATGAACATTGTCCTGCCTCCGGTGCCGACATCTGAAGAAAGTTGATCGTTCTTACCTTTGTTGTTTCCCACTGTTTTGAAAAGGGGGAGCAGAGGCCGGCCAGAAACATCTTCAGAGTGGCTGGTGAGACCGTCCTTCACAGCTTGGAAGCCATGTAATATAATCACAGGGTAGGGCCCGAACCACAACGTGAAGATATTCCCGTAGATCTTGGACATCTGTTAGAAAAACGATCCCACACGGTCATATATTTTAGCAAAAGGGTCCTCTGCCCTGTTTCTGGGTAGGCGTGGCCATGGTGGGCGTGGCCTAGTCAGCCTCCTGCACCCTGATTGGTGGGGGGTGTTTTTACCCTCCCCGGGCTCCGGAGGCTCTCTGGAAGCCAAAAATGGGCTCCTTTCCGGCCTTCCTCAACTTCCAGGAAGCCTGTTTTTTGCCCTTCCTGAGCCTCTATGTGCGCCCTGCATTTACCTGCATCCAAAACAGGCCACATGAAGACTCCGGGGAGGGGAGGGGAGGGGAGGGGAGAGGAAGGGTGGAGCCAGCCAGGAGTGGGGATTTGGAGGTTCTCCAAACTGCACAGAATCTTAGCGAGGGGCTCTCCCAACCCGCCGTGAACCCCCAGCAGCCCAACCCCTGTGACACGGTCTTTAAGATTCTTGGTGACTATATAATTTATTTTCATTTGAATAAAAGCTTAAATTCATTAGATTCATTACAGATAGGAGAGAAGGAAGAGGACCGCGGTGTTCTTGGTACTCTCTGAGCTTGGTTGCTTTCTTGCAGACATTTCATCGCCCAACTAGGGAACACTATCAGTGTTAGAAGGGAGAGGAGTTTGGAGGAGAAGGAGGAGGAGGACTGTAGAGTCCTTGGTGCTCTCTAAGGTTAGTTGGTTTCTTGAAGACATTTCAGTACCCAACTAGGTAACATTATCAGTGCTGGAAGGGGGTGGGGTTTGCGAGGAGGAAGAAGAGGAGGAAACTGATAAGGTGGACTCTATTCCTATTCCCAGAAAAAATAACATTTGTCCACTGTCCAGTGTTATCCCGGAGATTTTAGATGAGATGGGTGTTGCTGCAAAAATGATAAATAGATAAATAAATCTACTCGGTCTGCACACTAGATAACATCTTTATTAAGTTAAACAACAATACACAAGGGAGTGTGCAAACTTTTCAATTCTCTGAAAGATTTCATTCAGTTAAATCGTTTTTTAAAAAAGAAAGCAGGGAGAAAAAGCATAGATTTTTTTAAAAAAAATGTGGCCTGAGTTGTGAACAAAGTTAAGTGGAATAAGGAGATTTTCAATGTTGCTGGAAAGTTGTGGGTGACGTTTAATTTGCACCCAGCCCAATACCAAGTCATCCTTACATTCAGAGCAGAGGAAGTGCAAATGGCACTCCCTTTAGATGGCAGAAAAAAAATGATGTTTCTTTATTAGACGTCAGCAAGCATCAAAAATAGTTAACAGGCATAAAATAAACAAAGCAGTGGTGGGATTCGACCAGTTCAGACCAGTTCGGGCAAACCGGATGATAAAGTTACATCTGGTTCGCCAAACTGGTATTTCAACTGACCTGCTGGCATCCTGTGAGTAAGTGGCATGTAGAGTAACCTTTGGTTACTCCAGCTTTAAGCCTTCTAGGTGTTATGACTCCCCTTCAAAATTCCAACGAACAAAACAGAAAGCAGCCGTTTCACAATTAAATCAAACGGAAAGAAGTCTTACAAGATAACGGCTGGCAGGAATCTCAATCCATAGTATAAATCTTTACTCTGTCCGGCAAACCAGTCCTGGCAATAAATCTCTAGTCTCAGAGCTTCTTGCTGTAACGTCCTCACTCAAATAAGTCACTTTGTTCCTGGCAAATTGTACCAGCCCAGCTGTGTCCTTTTATACTCATTGAGGCAACGTGCTAATTTACTGACTCGCTCTCCTCATTCGCTCCAGCTGATTTTGCCTTCTCAACTGTCTTCTGTTCCTTACATTTAACCACAAATTTTCCAAGTTCTCATTGCCACTAGAAGACTCTCTCAAAACTTCCCTGTCAGCCATTCCCGGCTGTTGATCAGATAAGGAACCAGAGGAAGTCAAAGGTCCTGACAATTCTAATACATCAGGTCTGTCGTCCTTTGTCACGTCCATCTCCTCATCCTGGTTACCAGTCCAATCACTGAGCCATGCCGGCTCATATTTTTCTGCCATGACCTCCTTACTTGAACTCATATCAGTCACAGGAGCTGAATCCAAGCCCAGAGCCACAACACTAAGTATAGACAGCAGAACAGAGTTGGCAAATAGGACACCAGGCAATACCGTGGCCTCTTTCCTGCACCCTAAACAGAATGCAGGTTGTCCGCAACTAACAACCATTCATTTTGTGACCAGTCAAAGTTACAACAGCATTGAAAAAAGTATGATGGTTTTTCACACTTATTTTATAGCCCAGGTGGTCAAGGCAAGGCAGGCCCCTCGAGAGTCCTTCGTTCCTCTCAATAAATGGTCCAACAAATGGACCTCCTTTTTTTTGGCAACTGGAAAAAGTTTGCCCCCATGTTCTTCTGAGATAGCTGTTTGACTATTCTATTCTATTCTATTCTATTCTATTCTATTCTATTCTATTCTATTCTATTCTATTCTGTTCTGTTCTGTTCTGTTTTGATACCAGGCCTCTAGCCTATGAGGGCTCTGGAATCGCAGACAGACTGTTGCTATTGGCAGTCAATACAGCAGAGGACTGCAGGAGGCTGTCGTGGCTTTTATTTTACTACAAGTTCAGGCGAACTGGGCCAAACCGGTAGCATCACCACCACTGCAGTTTTTACTGCTTTTTACTGTTACCGATTTCCCTATTATAGCACATATTGCACATGTTTCAGTGTACAAAATGACCAGAGATATTGATGTCGGAAGAGGACCAACAGAAATCGCTAAAAATTTACCTCAAGTTTTCTTTTGTGTGTGGCTATTATTGCATGATCAAAAAAGATCAAGATTTGTCCAATTAGAAAACACGGTGAGCGCAAAGAGTAGCTCTTACAAAAAAGAAAAATAGATTTGATCCTCCCACTCTTTTGGCTACAACACAAAAGCCACAATGCCACTTAGCAATAAATGGCAGGGCCTCGACTTATGACCACAATCGAGCCCGACAATTCTGTTGTGAAGTGAGACATCTTTTTAAATGGCCTTTTGGCCTCTTTCATCACTTTTCTGGCCACGGTTGTTAAGAGAGTCGCTGCCGTTGATAAGTTAGACCCACGGTTGTTAAATGAACCTGGCTTCCCCCATGGACTTGGCATGTCAGAAGGTCGCAAAAGAGGATCACATAACCTTGGGGACATGGCAACGGTCGTAAATACGAACCAGTTGCCAAACATCTGGATTTTGATCATGTGATCATGGGGATGCTGCAAAAGTTGTAACTGTGAAAAATGGTCATACGTCACATTTTTCCAATGCCATCTTAATTTTGAACGGTCACTAAATGAACTCTTGTAAGTCAAGGACTAACTTGTATTGTTCTGGTTTGTTGTTACCTGTATTATTCTGTTCTGTTGTTATCTGTATTATTCTGTTTTGTTGTTACCTATATTGTTCTGTTTTGATGTTACCTGTATTATTCTGTTCTGTTGTTATCTGCATTGTTCTGTTTTGTTGTTACCTGTATTGTTGCCAAACATCTGAATTTTGATCATGACTTTGAACAGTCACTAAATGAACTGTTGTAAGTCAAGGACTACCTGTATCTACTTCTGAAGGGCCATCTTCCATACTTTCATTTCTTTGCTTCTAAATATGTATCGGCACACCTCTCCCCTAACAATAACAGATTAACAGAGTTGGAGGGAGACCTTGTAGGTCATCTAGTCCAACCCCTCTCACCCAAGCAAGAGACCCTACACCATTTCTGACAAATGGCAGTCCATTACTTCATTTTTCTGATCCGAGTTAATCAGCTGGTGAAAGGGATAGAAAATTCTTACCTCTGTCAAGAGTTCCCGGCTAAATATAAAAAATTTGGGGTGCCATAAGCATCCGATGAAAGGCAGAGGGGTCGGTCCAGGTGGGTAGTGCCTTCTCCGAACCTGCAGCTTCACCAGTTGGACAACCAGGAGGCAGAGGAGGAGAGTGAGGAAAATTGAGCTTAGCACCAGCATTTCTGTGCAGCTTCTCCAAGGAGTCTGCCTGCTCTGTGGTAAGACTTTTGCCTGCAAAATCCTTTTGCTTTTCCAATTTTGTTCCCATGGGCAGGATCTTACCCAGAGGATTTAAATTTGCCCTGCCTCTTTTGGCAAATCTGCTTCCCATTCCACATCTCAGGGCATTTTCTTCTTGGGATCCGGTTCAGCAAATTATGTTGTAAGGTTAAATGGAACAACCGGCGGGCCTACCCCTGGATAACTTCTCTTCCACCACTGTGGCTTCTGCAGAAGTTTAAGCTGGCGGAAAGATTAAACTGTCAGATTAAACTCTCCTTATTTCTAGCTGAAATCTCTCTGCTTGATCAGTTTCCATCCATTATTCCTTGTCTGGCCTTTCAGGTGCTTTGGAAAATAGCTTGACCCCCCCTCTCCTCCTCTCTCCAACAGCCCCTCAAGGATTGGACCTGGGACTGTCTTGTCACTGTTGGAAGTTATAACCCGCCCTAGAAAAAGGAAACATTTTATGATATACTAAAAAGGCAGAATATTTCCCCTAAAAGAGAAATAGAAACTCAGAGAGGCAGAAACTCAGCGCCTCCACCCCTCAACCCGCCATCAATGGGCCATGAAGGCCTGAGACAACGACACGCCGCATTTTCAGTCTCCGCATCTCATTTTCGGCCTCTGCACACCCCATTTTCCACCCATTTCAGGCGGTGGGGATCAAAGTGGGCGGAAAATGGGGTGCGCAGAGACTGAAAATGGGATGGGACAGCCTTGTTTATATTTATTCCAAACTTTAGTAGGCCACGTCTAACAAAATGGTTATTAAAACCAACTGTAGATTCATTTTTATCGTGCCAGAGGGAGCCGTGCCATCCAAATCTTAATTCATGGCCCTCTAATTTAAGTAACCTCTTATTGGGAGTACAGGTAGTTTTAGTGATGGTTCAAAACAGTGGTGGGATTCAAATATTTTTACCACTGGTTTGGTGGTGTGATATTGCGTTCGCACAAGACGCTGACGCGACACGGAACTTCTTCAAGACAAAGCAGTTTATTGTTACGATTCTGCAGAAGCGGGTTCACATCCAAGGCAGCAGGATGGAACTCAGAGCTAAGTTAAACACACATTTTTATACTCCCAGTACAAAGAAGCGAGATACAATGTATCAGCAATACGGAACATTCTGTTGCTTCATCTATCTGGAACTTTGCACGTATACTAGTTAAGCAATAAACACTTCCTTGTTCTTGTTTCTCTGAAAAACCACTGAGGTTGCTTTTTTGAAACACACACACACATACACACAATGGAAAAGTATAAAATACAAAATGGAGAGCTTATCTAAAATGGAGTTACATTGGTTCACTTTTCACAGTGGGTATGGCTTGGTGAACGTGCTTTGCATGCGTGCTCACACTTTGCGTGCATACGCCAAGCCTGCACTTTGCACAGAGGCATTCTAACTCACTTCAGGCAAGCCTGCATTCACCCAGTCGCTTCAGCAGCTGCTGCATGGCGCTCTGCTGTTCCACGCAAAGCAGCTACGCTTCAAATTCAGAGCATAAAGGTGAGTATGGGTGCCTGGGTGGGCAGGTGGGCCCAACAGCAGAGCGGTGGAAAGAACTGGTTTAGTTTCTGCCGCTTAGCGCTGCTACCGGCTCAGCAGAACCGGGCCAAACCAGTAGAATGCCACCACTGGTTCAAAGTTACAATGGCACTGTCACGTACATTAGTGGTCCCCAACCTTTTTTGTGCCGCGGCCCGGTACCGGCATCACAAAATCATCCGCGGCCTGGTACTGGCATCAGCACGCATGGCAAGGTGAGCTGAGCAACCGGCCAGCCAGCCGTCCCCCGCTTCTCCCCGCCACCTTCAACTCCTTCTTTGTACCTGTGTCGATGGGCTTCACGACGGCTTCGGGACGGTCGCTTGGCTCCCCTTGCCATGCGTGCTGAAAGAATCCTCACACCTTAGTTTTGTTTGAAGCCGCCCCCCCCCCCC